CAATGGATTATTTGTGTACTTTATCCTTTATCGTAATATAAGCGGACATTGTAATTAAACAATGAGAAGATATCCAAAAGTTATGCTGAGAGGTTTGTATTTATAAGCGTAAATTAAATATATAATTAAAATATTTTTTCTAATTATTATAAAAGAAGCTAAGCACTTGATATTAAACAATGGTCATATAAGAAAAAAAAGTTAAAAGCTCATTCAAAAAACTCAAATACGAACATATCAAAATACATCGACAGTGGATGAAATTATTGAAAGATCACCAACAATAAAAATCATAGTCGAACGCTATGAGACAATTATCTTCGAACGCACACTACATACCAAATTCAATTCAATAATCTAAAACAGATATATCAACATGAAAATAAATAAACATCTTAATCAGTTGAGCTTGATAAAGTTAAACGAAAAGAAACAACCGATAAAACATTTATTTAAAATCTTTTTGTTTTGTTGTCTTTTTTATATTTAACTTGTACTTTTATCTAAGTCTTAAATGCATTTTAGTGCCTTGAAGAATTTAGAGTTCTCAATATTTGTTTTGCAGATTGATTTAAATTATTATAAAATCATCATTAAAATTTATCGAAATGTTATAAAATGATATTTAAATTTATCGAACTCTGACAAAATGACCCTTAAACTTATTACTAGAATTTATTGATATTTTAACATTGTATGGGACCGTTTTATAATACTTGAAAGGTAGCTGACCAAAAAAAATCATTTTTGCATAGTTCGATGACCTCTAGAGTACTTTGCCCTCTCTCTCTCTCTCTCTTTTTTGTATCAAGACGATGAAGGTGAGGTGTTGAGATCAGCCTTGAGGAAATAGAGTTGCCGTTGCAAATGCAGAACCTGACAGAGACAGACATCTTGAGATAAACTTGTAATGAAACAATGTCAATTATCATTGAATAACCAGAATCAAACAGGCACGACCATGAAAAATGATTTTCTTTACCAAAAGCCTATTGGAAAATTTTTGTCAGGATGTGAAAAGCCTGAAGTGACTACAATGATTGTCTAAATGAGAATGATCATGCAAAAGAGATCAGAAAATGGTTCAAGAAAACCGATAAAGTCGATGCCTGAAGTGAAAATACGAAGAATTTGATACAAACAAACAAGAAAAGAAAAGAAAAAACATGAGAAACCAGACATTACCTCCTCTTGGAGCAAAGTTGGGAGACCATCAACGGCTGTAAGGCCTTTCATCTCTGCCTGTACCTTCTCTTTAAGGCCCAACCAGGTATCTTGCGGCAATGCGAAAAGAAGAACTGTCATACCATCCCCTATTGATGGAGGTATACCATGGCAACCATTTTGGTCAAAATCACAGAAACAGCTTGGCTTTGTTGCAGATGATGGAATCAGCATATCTACCGTTTGTTCAGTCCCATCGGTAGTTACGGTGCCAGAAGCCACTGTGACGGGCTCCTTACACTCGGCTTTTATAAGTTTTATATCTTTACAGCAGCATCCATTTAACGACCTAATTCTCCCTGTTAAAAGTTCAGCTCCTTGACAGCAAACATCTGCAGCAATGTCAGCTAAGCTATCTTTGTAACCCAAAGGTGCCATATTTTTGCACAACGAACTCTCATGTCCCAAATATCCCATCACATGTTTGAATAGGTCCATCTCGCGTATTTGGTTCAATATTTCTTCCTGAAATTTCAAATTATTCTCTTCCAAGTCATGGAAAGAAATCAGAAAAAAGGTTTGAGCGAAAGGAGCTGTAAATTAAAAATTCACTCTTTCAAAAGAGGAATTAACAACAAAGTAAAATGGAAGTTGAGAAATAAAAAAAAAAAATTGTGCCCTTCATACCTTGAGTGCAAGCCTTTGTTTCTCCTCTTTACTTAAAACGGTACTGCCATCATCCTGTCTACGAACCTCTGCAATCCATTGGATGAACTCTCGCAAATTGGGAGGTGCTGATCTAAATACGACACTCAATACATCATTAACATCTTTTAGATTCTTGGAGGAGAACAAACGGGGAAGATCTTCCATCAAGTAATCAGCAACTACATTCCAATCCTTATGTTTACAGCTCTGCATTTGATCCACAATAGAAGCAGTACCAGTTATCACCTCTTTGAGCAATAAAGGTGTATCAAACATAAAGAATGCATTGAAACAGTAAATCCAGAAGATGGGAAAGGAGTGCAACAATCAACAGCAAAGAATGTAACATTTATCATAATAAGACCTAAAATTTAATGGCAACTGTCAACATGCCCATATTTAGTCTGAATTAAATTCCCCTAGCGTCGCAGGTTTAGATTGCATGAAAAATGAAGAGCACATTGAGAATTTTGATGCCACTTTAGATAATTCAGACATCACAATTTGTTACCATACTCATCCAAAAGTTACCATATGGTTAGTAAACTGAAAGCTTAGAGAGAAAGACCAAAAAGACTAAATTAGAGTACCATAGTGTAAAGCACAGATGCTGCTTTCTGAAACTTTGAAATAACCATGAACCTGAAGAAAGCAAGCATGAGATGCAATCAGGAAATTTTAAAACCTAAATCACAGCAGTGCGGTAGTAACAACTACTAACAAGATAGCAAGTCTCATAATTTGCAAGAATCTGATGAACCGATAAAGGGCAGGTTTTATAATCTGTTTTACAAGTTGATCATACTCATAGGAAATAAAGTAACAACAATTAAAGGGTCGATTACCCCCTAAGATGTCCAGTTGCTTTGTCAATAGTATTCATGGCGTCCCAAAGAAGCGAAAGAGGAACCCAATGAGGAGGGTATTTGAATCTAGCAACATCCAAGATTAGAACCATATCCTTTGCAGCATGGTAACCCCCTATGGGTGAAAAATGTCCCGTCCCTGTCTGCAAACCAATTACAATTTCAAATTGGTAAGAAAAGCAATCAAGAGAAAATAAAGGGTCAATTAGTGGAAATGTGATTCAATGAAATGCGTACCTGTTTGAAAATTGCTCTATTGTAGGAGACAATCAAATGGCAATCCTCAGAGGAAGTACAAGAAACCAGGCGTTCCCGAAAATTTTCGATGTTAGATTGATCCGTCCTGAAAGGTTCGACTTGAGCACCATTGCAAACAGCCAAACAAGCAACTTTACGGAAAGTGATGCCTTGAGTTTTGATTTTCTCCAGAGGCTCGCAGCAATCCAGCATTGTATCATCGAACCATCTCCAAGGCCCTGATTAAATTGAAAAAAAAAGAAAGAAATAAAAAAGAAACTTAGTTTGGCCCGATGGCTCGAAATTTAAGTAAATAGAGAAAATTAAAAAGGGAAAATAAACTAGAAAAGTACCTTTCCAGGTTCTACCGGGATCGATAGCCAGGGCGTTTAAGACCATCGCGAGAGTGGCGAGTCCACAATACGCAGGCTCCGATTGCGTTTGATAGTACGATATTAGTTTGAAAAATCCTTCCGCGGTTCCTCCTGCCAACGCTTCCGTGAAGAGTTTCTGTAAAAAATTTCAAAATTGAAGTTTAAAAGGTAAGAAAAATGAATAAGACTTGAAAGAAAAAAGACTTGCCTTTCCTTCTGGAGAAGCGAACTCGATCGCCGGAGGAGATGGAAGAGCTCTCCTGTAGAGACCCGCCAACGCCATTTTCTGGTTTTCTTCTTCTTGCTCTTGGTGAACAGCGTTTATGGTATGGTAGATGGAGATGTAAAGAAACGATCCCAGACAGCCACGTGTCTGTAAAGGGCGTACAGAGAACGCAAAACCCATTCCCAAGTCAACTCCGATTCCACTTTAAAATGAAAATTTAATCATATTATCATCATATTACTTAAATTATTATTAAAACGAATTTTTTTAAAAAAAGTACATTACAATCACAATTTACATATTACAAGGATTGATGCCGAAAATTGACCTATTAGACGTTTGTATTTGCAGGCGGATTTGACACTATTTATGTCCACTATCATGTAATATAAACTTTATTATCATTTTTGTATAATAAATGAATTTTAAAGCGATTAAATAATCTCATTGTGGAAAGAATTAATTACTAAAATAATAAAACGGTAGATGTTAAAATAAAATAAAAAAGTACTTAAATTATTAATTTTGATCTATTTTAGAACTTAAACTTTTAATTCTTTAAAATTTAACGTTAAATTTTGATCGAATACTAAAATTAAACAAAAAGTAAAACTTTAAACGGTTGATACTAAAATAAAATAAAAATTAAATTTTAGGTATGATTTATAAAAAATTAAAATTTATGTACTAAAATAGACCAAAACTAATAATTTAAGTATTAAACACATAATTTACTCTTTTATTAATTAACAGATTAATTTAAATAAAATATGATAAAAATTTATTATAGGTGGCGTTAATAATTTTAATTTTTTATGATATTAAAATTTAAAATTTATACAAAAAATTAAATTTTTTTTATAATGTACACACTGCAGACTGCAAATACAACGGTTCAAATCCGATAAGAAAAATGACATGATTAAAACTTAAAAGATTATTTTTTAGATTTATATTAAAATAATTATGATTATTTTTTTAAAATTTAAGAATACAAATTTGCTAGATGTTTGTTTAACGGTGAATTTGAAATACTTGATTTCAATATCTTTCAAGAACATAACTATATAAAATGAAAAATTACACATTTAGTAATTAAATTATTAATTTTGATCCATTTTAGTATTTAAACTTTTAATTTTTTTCAAAATCATATTTAACGTTTAATTTTTATTTCATTTTAATACCCTGTCATTAAGAACTTAACGCGATTCATACCTAAACTATAAATTTTAGTCTGTTTTAATACCTAAACTTAAAAAAAAATCAAAATCTAACATTAAATTTTAAACAAAAATACTAAAATAAAACAAAAACTAAATTTTAGATATATTTTTGAAAAAAATTGAAAGTTTAGTATAAAACGGATCAAAATCGATAATTTAAGTACCAAACTCATAATTTACCCTTAATTTAAACAGCATCTCATCCACATGATTTATATAACAAATTAAATCAAAATCTTCAAATTTATGTTTCCAATCATAGCAACATGCGTTTAGAGTACTCAAGCAATGTGAGAGTTTTGAGTCCCGTGAACAGTCTTCCTCTGATCCATCTTCGAGTTACAGTATGGCGACATCGATGGATACCGATCAGCTAAAATTGCAGTAATCTAATCACTCGAAAACCCGAACGAGATCGAGTAGGGAGAAAACAACGTACATAACTCTTTCAAAACTCGGCTTCCTATCTGCTTTTCTTTATCTCAAAGGAGTACTTGAGTTCCATGTGACATCTTCTGTCATCGTCTTCAAACTGCATGTAAGTGCGAAATTCATACTATCACTAGTTAGCAGGTGTGATAAACGGACACGAAAAAACTTGGACTCGATCCAATTGGTTCATGAACAGAAAAGTAGTAGCACTTTTTATGTGTATCGACGACGACATAAAAGACGGTATATGTTTCCTAGAATTAAGGTTCGTGAAATGCTGTCACCGAACCATGTCTAAAGTCGAGAACAACGGAGAAGCCGAGAAGCAAAACACAGAACCTTGTTAATACATCTATATCTACGATGACTAATGCATCTCAAAAACTGGTGTGTCAAATTTGTAACCAAGATGAACTTTTTTGGTTTTAAGTCGATCAAGATTTATCGATACAGAATCTGTTGCTAAACATCGTAATCTTGCTTTATACATACATACCTTGAGATTTGCAGAGTAAGTTCCCGTTGCAAGCACCCCGGACGGTGTAGTCTCTTCATCGAAAACATGCACATATGGTTCTCGTTGAGGAGCAAAAGTTCCCAGCATTCCTTCATTTCGATCAACTGATGACAAAGCAATAAATCAAAACAAACCGTCACTCACTGAAACAACGGTTAAGGTGAAATCGTTAGTTTGGTTCGATCACACGAGCCTATGCCGGTAATAGGGCTATCAAGAGCTTGTGATATTCAATGAAGACTACATAGAAATAGTACTCAACCACTTGCTAACCAAATCACCCTAATCAAATTTCCGCAATGCAATTAGAGGGCTGTTCGTAGTTAATGTGTTAGGAACATAATCAATGCAACTTAAACGGAAAGAGTGAAAGAGACGATTCTTCACCTTGAACTCTCGCCTTCCACACCATGATGGAGTATGTTAAGCCGGAAACGATGTTGTGCAGAACACTGAATGTCAACTTAAGCCGATACCGAGATCCTTCTTTGAGAGTAAACAGGACATTACCGTTCCGATCCCTATCGATCGGCAAGGGATAGTTAACTTCCCCAAGCTCATCAGAAATAATTCCTATGGAGTGGACTTTGACTTGAGGTTCTATTTGGTCTAGTCAATCATAAAATTCAAAACATTACAATAAAGAGGACGATCGAATTAAAGCCGAGAAAATAAGGCAATCAAACAGATACCATTCAAGTCTCCTTCAACACAACCAAGAAGCTTCTCCTTCCATCTCCTTAAGCTCTCATCATCCTGCAAGAGCATAATTAAGTGCCGAATTGACGTATTCTAACGAAGCGAATCTTTCGACAATTTGTAAAGGGAAGTCCCCGAAAAGATACCTAGCTAACAATCAAGGAGAGCCTAGTACATGTTTCATTGGCATCACAGAGCAGAAATAAACCTTCAAGAGGCACTAGAGTCAACTAAAACAATCTGGAAAATGTCATTAAACTTTGATATAGTGTTGTTGAGGAAAGTGAACTAAGAATCCATATACTGCAAACAAAGTAAACTGAGAAGAAGAAGAAACAATCCAGAAACCAAGAAATCAGCAATCTAAACCAATCAAGGAAATGAACTGTGCCGGACTAAAAGGTGAATCAAGCACGGATCACAAGAACCCATCAAGAAATTCAACAAAAAAATCCAGACAAAAGATAGAAAATGGAATCAGGACAAAAAAGACCTTGTCTTTTTCAATCTGCTCCTTGAGAGAAACAAGAGGGCCAGGAACAAAACAAGACGAAGCTCCAACACCATCTTCCTCGTCATCTTCTTCTTCATGATCATCGCAAGCTTCAAGAGGAAAGGGTTTCTCACATACTTCCTTTTGTTCTCTCTCTTTCTTCTCCTCACTAAGACCTGTTGAAGACCCAGCTTCTGCTCTCTTCGCACTCTCCATCTCTCTGTCTCTCTCTCTCTCTCTCTCTCTCGTTGGCTGCAGTGCAGTGAACAATAAATGGGAATTTTTTTCCAGGCTGCTGGAGAAAATAAATGGAAGGTTTTTCCAAATAAGAAGACTTATTCCGAGTATATTAACCTATTATGTACTAAACCAAATGGTACACGTTTTTGTCAGTTTTATTTCTTACACTATTGAGTTTGTTTGTTCTCTTGTCAGTGTCTTGTCTTAATTTCTTCACTTTTTTTTGTATTGTCGGTGAATGTGTAAACCTGGACACAATGGCAGTCTGGCATTAATAATATTACAAAACATCATTCATCAATCCAGCTTTCATAGGGGGGGGGGGAAACCAACATGGATCTCTAATAATATATGATATTTTGCTCATGTGAACCCATTCATAAATTATAAAGTACTATCCGCTTTGACTTTGAAAGCTTTATGATGTGCAAATTCACAAGAAAAATAACATAGAACAATGTACAAGTATCGGTGTATTGAGACTAGTTTATGATATTTACGGGGAACAAGAATAGGGCATAGCAGCAGAGGGCTGTTTATCTAAAGGGATAAACTGGCAGGTGCCGAGTCTTCAAGAATGGCAGCAGCCTGAAAACATTCGGCTGCTTCTTCCAGGGAAGATGGAGTGTCTTCATCTTTGAGAAGCAGACCGAGATTGTAACATGCCGAGGGATTCATTATATGGCTCGGAGAGCATTCATCGGCAAGTTTTTTTACAACTGCATCGGATTGGCTCCCGAGTTGTCTGAGCAGGCCAGCTGCAGATATCAAGCTTGGGGCAAGATCAGGATAGATATCCAAAGCGCTCCAAAAAGCGTTGAGAGCTTCTTTTGGTTTGCCTTTTCTTTCATAAATTACACCTGCAAACAAAATTGTCTTGGATCCTTCATTTACTGGTTTATTTCCACCCCAACAAGATTAACACCAAATCGCTCTAGTTTTTCAATGTTTAATTTATGACAAGGATCGTATACGAGTATATGAATGGTGCTGATTTCAGAAGACTCGAGTTTATACATGAAAATGTGTAAGCTGGGTATATAACAGGAAATTTTCTAGTTCCATATAATATGATAAAAATAAGATAAACAAGGGACTACTAACTTACCAGTGGCATGATTTCTAACAGCAGAGAAAGAACTGATGGCCTTGGATTTTGAAAGACAAATCTCGGCAGCTTGCCATCGTGACAAGCTTATGTAGAGATAAGCTAGATCATGCCATATTTCCTGTTCAAAACTTCTAGAAAAGCATCCACGATCCTTTAAACAATCATTGAAAAAGGTAAGCCGCTTTTAAAATTGTTTATCGGTAAGTGTTATTCACGAAAAATGACGGAAAAGCGTTAACACTCCAACTTCAAAACCTACCCATTCTGTCTTCTGACAGTAACAAGCCTCAAACTTGTATCATGCACGGGTATCCGAGTAGTGACAAGTCATACCGGCAACAAAGATGATTTCCAATAAGCATATCTGAAATCTATCAATCTAATAACAAAAACTGATACATCTCCTAACGTCAACTTAGTAGGATAAACATTTTAGATTCTTCTCTGACATAGAAATCAACTACAGCCATAGGTAATGCATATGAATGCTAAACAATTAGCGGACCTTATAAAGTTTCTTCCCGGAACTGAAGCTTTTAGTCCTTACATGAAGAATGCCTAGAAGTCGAATCTATGCGTCAACAGCGCCCTTGAGATGTCCCCTGTGCAGTTTGAAGCTTAGCTTTGGTGCGCAATAGTTCTCCTTCGTCCCATTTGCCAGTTTGATCCAGGGCAGCGTCCAGGATGGTTTCACTATCCACAAAACGTTTTTGGGCTGAAAATGCGCGGACCAATAACAACCACTCCTTAATGTTAGAACCACCTTCAAGATTTAGCAATGACTTTGCATATGAAAGTGCTTCTTCCAACTTTCTCTGCTCATCAATTTGCAGGCTGAGAAGATAAAGAATGTTAGGGTCCTTCATGCTTGTAATATTCCCAGCCCTTTTCAAGACTTGACCAAGCATTTAATACACGAAACTTGAAGCAAATCCTCTTCGAACCCGAAGCAATAGGATTCTGGGTTGGAGATGGGATTCTGGGTCCACCTTAACGACGGCTGCCTCGCTGGTGGGCCATTTCTATACCACGTGTGATGCTTTTCATATATTTCAGTGTTGACTTTGACGGTTATTAACGTTATTTTTACTTCGTCAGTTTTTCATTTGTGGATTTTGATAATACAAAAAATAATTAAGTTTTTATAAAAAAAATTAAAGAATTTAATCTAAAATTTTATAATTAGAAATTTAAAAGTTTTAAGATTTAACGGGAATTTTAAATTTTTTAAAATATAGTAAAATTCTTAAAAGAGTTTTAATGGTAAAGGGAGTATTATTCATTTTAAAAGTTTTAAGTTCGAGCAGTCGCATCTCTTAGATATACTTTTCGATTATTTAAAAATAATTTGAGTATTTACTACTTTATAATCATCAGGACTATTCAAAAAATCAAAAAAAAATGTCTATCTCCTAAAAGAGTTATAATTACTTTATAAAAAATTTAGAATAAAAAATAATTTTTAGAATTGTATGTGTTGATTAAAATGTAGTACATATTTATATTAAAGATATAATAAAAACTAAAAATAATTTTAGAAAACAGCCAAACGAGGCCTAAATTTGATACAAGTGCACATGGACTTTTTTAAGGGACTGGACCTAAAACTTTTGTTTTTGTTTAAGGATCTAAAACATTACATGAGCGTTGTTTAGTCGTTTAATATCTCCGTGGCAAACTTAGTAATTTCCTTAATCTGCAAGGCTAATGGTTATTCTCTTCTCTATAAATTCATACAATCCACCAGGATTTCATTCTCCGCACTCCACCCATTTTTCTCAAATCTCAAATTCTCAATCTCTCCCAATTCTTCTTCTTCTTTTCATTTATAAACAGCGACAATTTTAATTGTATAAATCCAGATTCCGGTCACTGAATCTGAACCTTCTTTTGTTGTTGTTTTACCTTCTTACCCTTTTCGATTTTCCCGCTTTTTTTTACCCAAACAATCCGATTTTTATCCATCGGATACATTTTATTTATATATATATATGTGTGGATGTATAATTTGTAGTATATATTTGGAGCTGACGTGGCGTGTATCAAATAAGTTATAAGTCGCAACAAATGAACACCAAAACGATGCGTCTCCCTCCTCGACGGGTTCCCGATTCTATGCCCAACAACAACAATAAGCGCAAAGAGAGACGGTTTTGACCTCAAACAGTTAACCCCTCCTCCGCCCACAAAACCGTCCATGCTAGCCGCAGCAGCCGCCGCTCACCCGGTTCTACCCAACCAGCTCCTCGCCGGATACCTCGCCCACGAGTTCCTCACCCGCGGGACGCTCCTCGGCCAGCCATGGGACTCGACACGACCGTTACAAACGGCCGCCGAATCCAGGAGGGCGGTCGGAGGAAAAACCGAGCCGACGGAGAGATCCGCGACGGGCGACGCCGAGCCGGAGCCGAAGCCGAGGGAGGAGAACAAGCGTCAAAGGTACGTGGAAGTGGCGAGTTTGCTGAAGACCGATGGGACCTACGTTCCCGGCATCGTCAACCCGAGCCAGCTCTTTCGTTTCTTAGAGATGTAAGGTTGGTTTTTTATACGTGGCGACATCTCATTGGACGTAGGTTTTTCCCCCCAAGTGCCAAAGTTCCAACAACGAGATTGAATTCTTGTTAGAGCATTCTTCGTTTTCTTCTCCGTCTTTGCTCATACCGGAGAAGTTCTCTTGTGGAATATACGTAGCCATAACTGATAACTCGTAAGCATAGCTCTTCAGTTTTCCTTTAATTGTGCATTTGATGTTTTCGCTTATATTCTGAATGAACATTCAAATGATAATCTCGGAATTTCATAATGTTTTTAGGTTAATCAAAACCCAATACCCGTTCTTGTTCAAGAACATAAATTGCTCTCCAAACATTTTATCAGATTTGATTGATTTTGCATTCAAATTAATCAGAATCCGACATTGGATTTAGCTAATCTAATAAATAAAGTAAATCTACGAAAACTCGAGATTGCAAGATTGAGATCTAATTATCTAATTAGCCATCGATAAGCACGGGTTAGCTAGATCAAACTATTTATGTTCCCATATCGTGTATCATGTTTTTTCGTACCAATGGTAAAGCACCGATTGTTTAACTATACATGGCTAGTAAATAGTGTGTTATTGGTTAATAAAGTGAAATTATTTCATGAGTCTTATAATATTTGTTTAATAAGATTTTCTTATTTATCAATGGTTTTTTGTCACACCATATTCTTAAATTGTGTTTGAAAGTATCAAATATATTTTAACAATTCTTATAAGAAAAGAAACCTCCCCTTACGAAATCCATATAATATATATATATATATATATATATTTAATTTCTTTGTCATTATTACTTTTTTAATAGTTTCTGTCATTATTACTGTTATATTATTAACTTTGTTTCACCCTGCAATGGTTTTATGATTAAAACTTTCAAAATTTGAATTTGAACTTAGATTTAAATTTAAAGGTTGCTCCAACTTTTTTTTATAAAACACTTGTAATTTGGTGTCTGTAGTGAAGATGTTTATGCTAAATTATTGAGTTTTACTATGTTAATTTTATTTAATTAAGAAATTTATATATTATTTGGATATTTAAAGTTGCATATTCTTTTAAATCATGTCACTTTAATGACAATAATTGATTGTGTTACTGATTTACATATACTGAAGAGAGCAAATCATGTCAATCAAGAGGTTAAATTCCAAATTTCAGAATTGGTGGAAGGACTAAAATCAGAATTAGACTCAAACTAAAAGCTTGAATATTTTTTTTAATTTTGTTTCGTGGTAGGTTCAAGGCAAATGGACCGGCCTCCTCGGTTCGGCGTTTATGTGTCTGTGGGACCCACTACCTGACCCGATACAGCATAATATCACTGAGGAAACTATTAATTAGTTAATTAATTTGATTAAACACTGTCTCTTTTCTTTTACGCCTCACCCAACCCTAACTCTAATATATATATATATATATATATATATATAAAACTGAAGCGCTAATTTTCCCTATCTCCCCATTCGTTATTTCCTTTTCACGCCATCTTTTTTCTATCGTTTTCTAATCCTTCTCCGGTCGCCGGCCTCAAATTTTTAATCGGGAGAGTGATCCCAGTTTAAACTTTAACGTCAACGATGCCATAGCAAGATTGGGTGTCAGATCCAAAAAAATCTGTTAAAAGTTTCGTCTTAATGGGATTTGTTCGGTAAATTTTGGATGGATGTTATGGGTTATGAATGTTTAACCGATTCTGATTTCTTGGCAAAGGTCCAAAGGAGATACAATGGATTAAAGAAAAGGCTAGACTGATAACTTCAGAAAAGTAATTACAGGTTTAGATAATTTATAAATAAGTTTAAAGATTATGATTATTAAAGGCTTAAAGTAAATATAAGTACTCAAATTAGGCATTATTTTCAAGTATTTAATTGTTTTTTTTTGTTAAACCAAGTTCTTAAACTATTATATTTAATCATTTTAAGTCTTATCATTTTTTTAACTATAAAAATATTTTTAACTAATAAGAAATTAACTCGTCGTATAAAATTAAGTGTTTATTTTGATTAAAAATAGTTTAAGGGCTTAAAATAAAAAAGAATCATAATTTAAGAACTTATTTTGATAAAAAAAATAAATTAGGTACAATTACATATAATAATTTAAAGATTTACTTTGAAAAAAAATAGTTTAAATATCTAAAGAAAAAAAATAACAAATTTTGAGTATTCTTTTTTTTAGTTTAAGCTCTATTTAAATTAAACTCATTTTTATTTAGTTTATAATAACTTTTTATAACAGTAAAATAAATATTTATGCTTTAAATAATGAAAATAACTTACAAATATTATACTCCTCCCACTAAATTTGTTATTTTATTAATTTTTTCTATTTTTTAAAAATTTGACTCGTTATCATTTAAATTTTATTATTTATAAAATATGTGATAAAATATATTTTAAGAACCTTCAATCAATTAATTTTTAAATATATATATTTTATAAAATTTATTTATTTAAAATAATAATAGTTAAAGTTTAAAAATTTTGATCAATAAGAGACATATTTTGTAAGACGAAAGAATATATGATTCATTAATACTTTTTATGAAATAAATATAAAACATAAAACAAATAATTTTTGTAAAAGTAAAAAAATATCAATTTATAAAATAAAATCAATAAATCAAATATTGATAATTAAATTAGAAAAATATAAAATAATAATTAATATAAATCATGATATCAAAAATAAAATAATTATAAATTAATAATAATAAATTAATTTAAATTTAAATAGCTGATTGAATTGAATTGAATTGATCTATTATTAGTGTAATTTATAAGAGGATGCTTTAAAGTGAGGAGTATAATTGGTCTAGACATTATATTAAAAATAAGTTAAAATTTGGATTATAAGTTAAATATATCTGATGCAATTAAACTATGCAAAACGAGAAATTAGAAAAATAAAAGTTATAGAAAACAGGTGCTTCCTTTTAGCATTGTAAAACGGCACCGTCGGACTTGGATAAGAAAAGGGGCGCGAGGTTTTGGGTTTTGCTAACTGGTGGTGTCTGCTTTGCTCATCCTTTCTTCTCCATTTTTCCAGTTTAATGACTTGGAGTGTTCCATTTCTTCAAATCCATCAAAATCGTTGCACAAATCCTCTCCAAAAAAAATCTGGGTAAGTCATAGTTTTTCATTTAACCAAAATTTCCTAAACGTTTTCCAGGTAGAGAAATGCATATATATATATATATACATCACTACTACCAACTCTTTCAATTTTCCCATCCCTATGTTGTAAAGTTAATTTTCCATTACATATGTAAATAAAAAAAATGGGAATTAGTGTATGTAGAAATGAGTAAGCAAATGATTTTTTTATAAGCATGCTGTATGATTGCCGTGGTTAAAAGTTAAGCCATTGATTTACATGATGAACTGCCCACTGCTGATTACTTATTTCGTTTACTTATTACGTTTTTTTATAGGGTTTCTATTGAAAAGAGTATTGGGTATTTTGGAATTACATGATTGATTTTGATTATTGAAAAAGGGGTCAACTGAAATCATGAAATAGAAGCAAATTCTGGGAAACTGGTTCTGCTCATCATTGTTACTTTGGTTGAGATTGTTTCTGTATTCCTTTGCTAAATTAGCTCTTCTTTATGCTGGGAAATTCTTTGTTGTTGAGAAAATGTTATCCTTTCAGACTGGCTTTGTTCCCAAATCCGTTTCGCCTGTTTGTGTAGTGAGAAATGATCCTAGTTCCCGTAACCTGCTGCCTGTTTCTAATGTCACTCCTAGTATTCTTAGTCATTCATACAACATGAGGCCCGTCTTTGTGCACCAAAGACGTTACTTAAAAACTTCCCCTTGCTTTGCTTACTCGAGAAAATCCAATTCCGGTTCCAGCCATGGTCCTGATCCTGGTCCTGATCCTGAAGCTGGCTTGAAGTCTAAATCTAAAGCTGAAACAGGAAACCAGAACCAAAAGTCTGTAGTTTCCCATAACAAAGATGAAAATCATGATAAAAGCTTCCCAAAAACCATTCCTAAGAAGCCAAGACGTGGTCGTAAGAGTGAAGCTGTAGCTGTCGAAGATTTTATTCGTGACTCACTTGAACAAACGTTTGAATCAATCCGGCAGCAGAATCCTGAAGCTTTTGAGAATAAGGAAAATGTGATGAAGGACTTGAAAATGAGTTCGATCGTGACAGTAGCAGTGATGAAGATGAGGAAGAGGATAGTGAAATTGGTACAAGAGGAAAGAAGATGGTGGTGGAAGAGGAGGACCCATATTGGCCTTTAGATGCAGATGTTGGGTGGGGGATTAGGGCATCAGAGTACTTCGAGCAGCATGCCATTAAGAATGTGGCGGGTGAAGATGGTTCCGAGATTGACTGGGAAGGAGAGATTGATGATAGCTGGGTAAAGGAGATTAATGTTAAAAGTTTCAAAGTTTGGCAACCAACTTTGGAAAATGTTTTTTTTTCAAAGTTTGGTAAATGTTTCTTTGAAAAATGTTTTTCAAAGTTTGGTAAAATTTTGGTAGATGTTTGTTGAAAATAGGAATGGGTAAATTCACTTTAGTCATTGCACTTTAGGGTATTTTCAAAGATTAGTCCCTAAGTTTCTACTATAAATACCCTTACCCATTTAGCTTCAAAATCATCCCAAAACATTTCTTTCTTCCTATACTAGAGAGCTTTCTTGTGAGTAGTGAGTGTTTTGTAAACACCTGTAAATTTTCTCTCTTAGTAAAAGATCTGCAGCAGCCCGGAGACGTAAGCACAATTGGCTGAACTCCGTTATCAATTTTCGGGTATTATTTTTCCGCTTTTATTTCGCATTCTCACTAATCTGGTTATAGGGAAATTACTTGTACTCGGTTTATTTTCCTAACAACTGGTATCAGAGCTTTTGGTTGTGAATTTTGTCAAATTTTCTGCGATGTTACTATTCATTACTATTCACGTGAATAGTAAATTTCGTGAATAGTGAAATTCGGTCGGCGATACGAGTTTGTCGACGGTGGTGTTCTAATACACAGTGATTCGCAAGAATTGTCAGAAACGATCCAAACGAAGCCAGATTCGAGTGGGAGCGATGGCTGCAGACGAAGGGAAGGTGAAAATTGAAAAGTTCGATGGTGCGGACTTTGGCTTTTGGAAGATGCAGATTGAAGATTTTTTGTACCAGAAAATCTATATCAACCTCTCTCAGGAAAGCAACCAGAGGGCATGAAGGATGAGATTGGGCTCTTCTCGACAGACAAGCCCTCGGAGTTATCCGACTGACGTTATCCCGCAA